CTGTTTTGATCCTTATTATCTAAATAGAGGTCTCTCTGCTGAGAGGAGGAAATTGGGATTTTCCTAAGCTTCCTCATGAACATACTTTCCCAAAGCAGTTACTAAATTTTCTTATTTTTTATAATACCATTGGTCCTCCAAATCATTGGGTTCTACTTTCATAGATTTAATGAACTGCAGATTAAAAATATCTGGAATACTGTGACTGTACATTCATGTACAGTCTTTTTTTTTTTTTTCATTCATGTACAGGCCTTTTTTTTTTTTTTTTTTTTTATTTTCTCTTTTTTTTTTTTTTTTTTTTTTTTTTGAGACAGAGTCTCCCTATGCAGTTCAGGCTGGCTTTGAGCTCTCTTTGTAGCCCAGGCTGGTCTTGAACTTGCAATGATCCTCCTGCCTCAGCCTGCCAAAGTTCTGGGATTACAGGCGTGAGCCACCATGCCCAGCCTTCACCATTCTCTAAAAATACAATGTAACAACTATTTATATAACATTTACATTGTATTTATAAGGTACTCAAGTAAACTACTATTGTAAAGGCTACAGCTAGGGCTGTAGCTCAGTGATAGGGCAACTAACCTAGCATGTGCCCGGCCATGGGTTCAATCTCTAGTTATAAACGAAGGAATGAATGAAATCTATGGTAAGATCTAGAGGTAAAGTATCATAAGTAGTCCAAAGATGACAGACACAGTATTCAGGAGACTACTCCAAAGTTACATGCCAATACTTTGACACTTTATATAAGGTACTTGAACACGGACAGAGTTTGCCTCAACCTCCAAAATGCTGGGATTACAGGTCTGCACCACCACGCCCACCTTGTTTGTTTTTATTTTGCTCTGCAGTCCTAGGGATTGAACCCAGGGCCTTACACTTGCTAGGCAAGCACTCTGCCACTGGCCCACGCTGCAAACCTTGCCCCAAGCTCTTGACCCAATTTCCCCATCCCAATTCATGTATTTGTTTTGCCTTAGTTACATATATGTTGTCACAATGTTGCTCAAGCAGTAAATTTGAACTCTCAAAAATGTTAGTAAAGGGCCAAGAATATAGCTCAATGGCAAAATGCCTGCCTGGCAGGCACAAGGTCCTGAGTTCCATCCCCGGTTCCAAAACCAAAAAATGTTAGTAAATTTCTTTCTGTACTTGTAAAATTAACAGCTGCCCATGGAAAGAAAAAGTTCATCATCCAGATATAATCACTGTTAAAGCACTGTTTCACATCAAATACCAATAAATAGTCATTGAGCAGCGGTTCTGTTTTTTCCAAAAACTTAGGAAACAGATACATAAAAATGATTCATTCATTAAATATTTGTTGAGTACCTACTACATGCCAGGCACTGTTTTAGATTTGAGTACACAGTAATTCCCAAATGGTAAATGCTTATCTAGGAGCTACATTCTAGTGGTGAAGACAGAGAATCAACAAATAAATATAACAGGGTTGGTGGTGATCAGTAGTACAAAGAAAAAATAAAGCAGATTATGGGAAATGGAGAGGGCTCTGGGTATTGTTTTCTAGAGGGCAATTACCCAGGCCTCCCTGAGAAATGACATGTGATGAGGGTCCAGGAGGAAGTGAGAATGAGCTATTCATTCATGAGACTGACTGAACAGGTTCCAGACACTGAGGACCTGCCGTGTATAGGAGACATTTCTCCTGAGTTAAGGTTCTCTCCATTGCAGAAACCTTGCTCTGTTCCACCTGATGTAGGGGAAATGCTAGACATCAAATACGCTGAATTCGTGTCCCCCGAAGTCAAAGAATGAATTCTAAGGAACAACAAAGGTTAAGAGTAGGAAAATTTATTGGAGAAAAGGAATGGAGAATGGGAATGGGGAATAGGATAGCTCCTGAGAGACGGGAGGAGTCCCGAATGGGTTGCCAAGGAGCCCATCTCTCAAAGGAAGTTTTACAGAGCAAAATCATGAGGTGGGTACAACATGGGTCAAACTTGTGATCAACCAGAAGATTGCAAGAATAGTCACTTAGGTAACACTGATCTAATGGTAGCAAGGGTACATGAGTGACATCATTAACCTTGGTCAATAATCTATAGTCTTGGTCTGCAGTCGTAGTCTTAGTGGTCTTGGTCTTAGTGGGTGGGAGATGGCCCACCCCTAACGAGATAGTGGGAAATCTCAAAAGCGTGATACCAATAATCCCAAACCTCCATTCACCGGAAGGGAGGTATGTAGAACCAGCCATTGTGACTTTAATCCTCAGATGCGCCTCCAGCCACAGTTTGTTTTTTTGTCATTTTGAGACAGGGTCTTGCTACGCCGCTCAGGCTGGCCTTGAGCTCACTTTGTAGACCAGGCTGGTCTCCAACTCGCAACAATCCTCCTGCCTCAGCCTCCCAAGTGCTGGGATTACAGGTGTGTTCCACCACACCCAGCCAGCCACAGTTTTGATGCATTCTCATCTTTTGCAGTGATCCCCTCGGAAAGCCCAGTCCTGACAGCCTACTGTATTTCTGTCTATCTTAGCTTTCTTTTTTTTTTTTCTAACTTAGCTTTCTATAATACACCCAGTAGAGTGGAGACTGAATTGTTCAGGAAAGGAAGAGGTATTCTAACATTTTAACATGAGTACTTAAAATTCAAAAACTATGTCTCTTTTTCTTCCAAAGTAAAGGTCTGCTTCTGTTTCATTTTTTTTGTTCCCTGAACTCATCTTAAATATTTGATTTTCAAGCTTATCTTTTTTTTTGGTATCAGAATTCGAACTCAGGACCTTGCACTTGCCAGGCAGGGGCTATGCCGCTGTGCCGCTAAGCCGTCTTCTCAGCCCTCATCTTCTTATTTTTACTTTCCCAAACTAACCACACTTAGCTTTAACAATGTATTATGGTAGTCGTGTCAATATGTATAAACCCGGTTTGTTTTTGCTTTTGTTTTGCTTTTGCTAGTCCACTGTATAAATGTACCAGTCTTACTATTACGAACAATGTTGCAATGACTTATCTCTACATAATCAGTTCTGCACTTGTAGGAGTTTGTAAGGATTTTTTTTCTTTTTCAGATAAGGCTTCGACAGGCCAGGGATATAGCTCAGAGGCATAAGTACTTTCCTGGTAAGCCGGAAGTCGTGTGTTCAATTCCCGGTACCAAAAAACCTAAACCAAACCAAAACAAACAAACAAACAAACAAAAAAACCAGGTAGGGTTTCGCCATGCAGCTCAGGCTGGTCTTGAACTCTTCAGATCCTCCTGCCTCAGCTTCCCAAGTGCTGGGATTACAGCTATGCACCACACCTGGCTGTAAATATATTTTTTATTTTTTTATTTTTATTTTTTTTTTGGTTTTTCTCCGGTACCGGGAACCGAACTTATGACCTTGCGCTTGCCAGGCAGGCGCTTTTGCCGCTGAGCTAAATCCCCAGCCCCACCTGGCTGTAAATATAATTCTTAGAAGTGGAAATCTGGGTTAAAGGGCACAGATAACTCTAGACTGATGAAGGACCAAAAATTGCTGGGGGCTGAGCAGGAAAGCCGGTTTCCAAATGTTTGCCTAGCGGCAAGTCTGAATTCCTCAACTTTCTTCCTTTCCGGCCTCCCCTCGCCCTCCTCCACAGATCACAGCCAGGCTAGAAAGCAGGGGAAAGGTCGCGGCCTGGCTGTGGCTCCTCCCCTTCCCGTCACTTCCGTGAGCACTGCAGGCAGAACTGTGGGAGCCTCGGGTTCTTTCCTGCCCAGCCTGGGCCCCAAGGAACCGTCTTAGCGCTCAGACCTCCCCTGCCTGCTCGCCCCGAGACATCGCGGCCTGAAAGCTGCGACCCGCTCCGCAGAGGGAGGGTACCGAAGCCACCCACGCCTTCCCTGCCCCGCGTGGATGCTCGCTCAGGAGGCCTCCCCATCCCGAGTCTCCCCCGACTGTTTTCCGCGACCCACCACCGCACCGATAGTTTGGTCTTGGTGTGGTTGGATGGTGCCTAGGAGGGCAGCCCAACCCCCAAGCCTGAGCGTGGGTCAAGCTAAAAAGCCCCCTTGAAAATCACGTAGGGGCCCATGCTCTCTTTTTAGACGAGACTTGCCCATAAGCAGTTAAGAGCGCACCCGGGGGGCCGGGAGTATTCCGCATTCTTTGAAGCAACATGAGCCCGGTGTGATGGCGCATGCCTGTAATCCCAGGGCTCAGGAGGCTGAGGTAGGAGGATCATTGTGAGTTCGAGGCCAGCCTGCGCCACTTACGTGAGTTCAAGGCCTCTCAAAAAAGACCAAAACAAAACAAAACAAAAAAACCCAAAAAGCAATATGAGGAACGTCCCATCGGTCTGGGTGTCTGACGAAGGAGAAGGTCAGGTTCGAGCCTACGCTGGATAATTTATAGACTTAGCGAGACTCTGTCTGGGGAGAAAAAAAAAAAGGCCCGGGAAGTAGCTCAGTGCAAAGGCCCTGGGTTTAGTGCCCAGTGCTGGGAGGGTGGGGGACCAGCTCATAGAAATCATAGTTTAAAATGATGAAAAATGACCTATTACCCCCCGCCACCCCGGTACCGGGAATCGAACTGACGACCTTGCACTTGCCAGGTAGGCGCTGTGCCGCTGAGCTAAATCCCCAGCCCCCCGACCTCACTATTCTTGAGATCGGTAGCAAATTAAATCTTGGCACGGGGCAGGGGTGGCGGCCTGAGTCCTGGCTCCTCTAAGAAGTTAGGTAAAACCCACTCTCAGGCCCCGAAACGGAGAGAACAAAAGGGGGTCCGGAGCCCTCCATAACTCGCACTTCGTCAGTCTCCGGGGAAGAGCCCCACCCCAGGCCAGCACGTCCGCCCGAGGAGCCTCGGAGGGGGGTCACGCCCGGTCGTCCCCGCCCACGAGGTCGGGGTAAACCTGCTTCCCGACTGCTTTGCAGCCTCGGCAGCCCCAGTACGCGCGGTGCAGAACCCTTTCCGGCGGCCACTCTGCGCGGGGCGGGGCCGCGGACGTGCGCGCCGGCGTGTGCGTGCGGCTCCAGTGCGCGTGCGCGAGCGCTCCGTGGGCGGGGCCGCCGTTATAAGGGGGCGGGGCCGGGACGGAAGCACAGGCTGGGTCCAGAACTGGGGTTCTCTCCGCGCGGCTGTCTGCTCCGCCGAGGACCGGGTTCTTGCAGCTCCGCCGCTGCTGGCTGCTGCCGTTTGGCCTACTTTCGTCCCAACTCAGCACGGTCTGCTGCGACAGCGAGCGTGCCTCTCCCGGATCTTCCCCTTGGAGGTGAGTGGCGCTGGGCTTCGCCAGAGATCCGCTTTCGCGGCTCCCCGCCCCCTTCCCTGGCCCGTGCCGGCCGGGCCTCCTCGGGCTCCCGCGCTGAGGCCGTGGCGCCGGCCGCCTTCCTCGCGTCCTCACGCGGCCAGCCGTCGCTGCCCTGTTTCTGACTGTAGTACATCCCTGCAGCCCACCGACGCCCGCCGGTGCTGCCACGCGGCGTCCCAGCCAAGCCCTCCCGAAGCACCCTTAGCGTCTCCTTCGCGGAGTCGCGGCGCGGCGGGCTGTGGCGGTAGCAGCCCGGTGACGGCAGGGTTCGTGTCCTCCGGGCTGCTGTGTGGCCCTGTCACCCCCCCAAGATGCCTCATACTGTAAGTGTTCGGCATATATTTGTTGAATTAAATGAACTTGATTGATTAGACTCTGAAAATTATTTTGACTCCCAGAAAGTTTATGGTTAACTCGACTCTGACTACAAAGGACAGATTTCCAGGCGGATTGCTTTCTCTAGGGCATATTCTTTTTTAGGTTACTTTGAGATAGGGTCTTGGATGTAGTCAGAGCTGACCTTGAACTCACTCAGTAGTCGAGGCTGGGCTTGAACTCAGGGGGATCCTCCTGCCTCAGCCACCACCAGTCACACTGCCTTAGGGCATGTTTTCGCAGTCCTTCCTCCAGGAACTGACTAGACCTCCTCTTAAGGTAGTTGGACAGTAGTAGCCCAGAGTGTGCATTGCACCAGCCCAGAACAGTCTTCAAGAGAAAACAAGTTTAAAGCGGTGCCTTTGAATTAGTCTGGGGAAACAAGTGTGGCTCGGTGGCCATGGAGTTTGCGGTGTAATATCCTTGGCAGTTCCCTGGTGGGACAGCGCGCTGCCCCGGCTCCCTGGTGGGATGAGCCTCTCCGGATGAGCCTCATCTGGAAGACCAGATGGTTGAGGTTATAGATTAACCCCTTCCTCTTTCCTCAGGACCCAGAGGCCAGCCAGAAGCAGAAGGCAGCACTGCTACCCTACAAAGCGCAGCGACCATTCAGCGATGAAGCATATCTTGACTCTGTACTTGCTGGGTGTGGTGTTCACCCTGCTCTCTGTCTTCGTTAGGCTCATGGAGTCCCTGGAGGGATTACTGGGGAGCCCATTGCCTGGGAGCCCCTGGGCTGTCAGAGGTCATTTAGGCCACACCGAGCTCCCTAAGACCCTTCCTGAACACTCATCCAGAGGGGTGCAGTAAGACCTCTCTCAGCACCAGCCGAGCCTTGAAACACTGACCTCAGCACGTCCTACCCGGTGTCTCAGCAAGCTAGCCCGCACCCCCAGTGTTGGCAGAAAACTGTTAAGACTGGGACAGCCTATGTGGATTTCTTTGCCTTGGGAAAGAGCCTGTTGAGTGCAGAGGTGTAAGTGGGTACCTTTGTCTGTGGGGTGGTACCCTCCCTGCCCTTTCCCCAGCGACTCTTGGCTTTGATGTCCTTGGCACTGTGCCTCTCACACCTCTGAAATGGGGACTCATGTTGCAACTTCAGCTGTTGGTTTCAACCTTACAACCTAAACATCTGCCAAGTGTTCCTTAGGACCTGGGTGCCTTATGGCTGCTTCGATTGGTTGGTGTTCAGTCTCCCGTGAGAGCATCTCTGTGTCTGCGTAACGGTGGAGGTGTACCAGTTGTCTGTAAGGAGGAGCAGGATGATCGAGTATATCACTTCACATTTTCAAATTCAACCAACCAACGTAGTGTGTATGTGTTTGTATATATTGATCTGAAGGGGACGGTAAGATGATGTAGCCTCTTGGGTATTATGGTCACCATGTGGCTTAAATTAACTTTTCTAATGTAATAAAGTTGAATATTTCTGCATATCACGTTGACTTCTGCTCTTGAAATTAGTGGTAGGGAAGGGTCTCAATTTCTAGATCTGAGGTTAAACATCTTAAAACTTCGGAGCAGGAAAAGCTTAAAGCTCTTTAAACATAAACCCCTGAGTTAGGACACAGGGGCAGTTGGGTGTACTGTCCGTCAGCTATCTGACTGAGCCTGGGCCATGGTGATTCCCTTCAGCCTCCATAGCCAGAGTCTGCGCTTCAGGTTCAGCTCACCACAGATTTTGCTTTTCTTGGTTAGCTGTGGTGAGAGTCCAGCCTATGGCCTTACACATGCTAGATGTTTTGTTTTTGTTTGAGATGAGGTCTCACAATGCAGTGCAGGCAGGCCTTGAACTCGCTTATGTATCCCAGGCTGGCCTTGAACTTTCGGCGATCCTCCTGCCTCAACCTCTGGAGTGCTGGGGTTACAGGTGTGCACTACCACATCCAGCGTACATGCTAGATTTAAGTGCTGTATCACTGGGCTATGTCTTCCAGCCCTCGAAGTAATTTTTACGTTGTTCCTGTGCTGATCATGTGCAAACTTGTTTTTTCTCCTCATTACTCTATAAAGAATATAGCATAGCTGGGCATGGTGGCACATGCCTGTAATCCCAGCACTCAGGAGGCTGAGGCAGGAGGATCGTTGTGAGTTCGAGACCAGCCTGGGCTACAAAGTGAGCTCAAGGCCAGCCTGAACTGCACAGCGAGACCCTGTCTCAAAAAGATAGACACACACACACACACACACACACACACACACACACAAAAGAATATAGCATAGCAACTATTTACATCGCATTTACATTGTATTAAATGTTACCAGTAATACGGAGATTTAAGGTGTATGGGAGCTTGTGTGCAGGTTGTATGGAAGTAGTACACCACTTTATGTGAGGGACTTGAGCACCCAGAGAGATAACTGTGTCATCCTCTTGTGACTGTCCTGACAGTCTGAAGAAAAATGACCCGTTCTTCCATCCCCTAACCTTGAGTCTGGGAGAAAGAAATACAGTCCAGGAGGTCTGAGCTTTTTTCTTAGTTTTTCTAACGTCTTATCCACCAGAATGACTGCTTAGTTCTGATCGTTCTTAGGAGCAACTGATAAAGTGTCTACATCTCACAGATGATTGTTTCTGTTCTCTGGCCCAAATCTAAGTAGCTTGGTCTAAAAAAATGAAAGGGCTTTTTAAAATTTTTTTCTTTTCTTTTTGTTTTGTTTTTTTTTGAGACAAGGTCACACTATGCAGTTCAGGCTGGCCTTGAGCTCACTTTGTAGCCCAGGCTGGCCTGGAACTCACAACAATCCTCCTGCCTCAGCCTCCCTAGTGCTGGGATTACAGGGCGCTACCACGCCTGGCCTGTTTTTGTTTTTTTCTTGTACCTACCACTCCTCCATTCCTTGGCCTGTGTACAAGGGTGCTCACACTGCTCTGGCAGTATATTCCCATCTGCGTGTGTGCATGGTGTGAACATGAAAATTGTGAATTTGGGTCCATACTGAGGAATGAGCCCAGGACCTTTGTACTGAGCTACATCTCTGGCCCTTTTTTGAATTTTTCATTTATTTTATTATTAGCAGTGTTGGAAATTGAACCCAGGGCTTTCCCACTGAACTACAACCACAGCCAATTATTTATTTTCTTTTGAGATTTGACCAGGCTGGGCTTGGACTTGAGATCTGCCTGCCCCAGCCTCCTGGAGTGCTGAGATCACCATGCCCAGCTCTCCCTAACCCTTTTTATTTACCTAGGGTGTCTTGGTTATTTTTTTCTCGCTGAGATGAAATACATGACACCCATAATTAAGGAAGGAAAGGTTTATTTAGCTCACAGTCTGTGGAGATTTCAATCCATACTCAGCTGGCTCCCAGGCAGGGTGGCACATTGCAGAGGGCAACAGTTCATGGCTACAGAAAACGGCAAAAACAAGCAAAAAGGGAGGAGCAGCAGCAAGCCTCTTTCCCGCCCTTACATGTATGCAGGCTGGCTGCCCCAGGACGGGTGTAGCACTCACACCCATACTCCCAGCACTGGACCATGAATCAATCATAACTCTAGAAGCCTGCCCCATGACTGCATCAGGCTTTGGGGGGACATCAAGACACAAACCATAACAGGGTCTCTCTTCGGAATCACATCTAAAACCGGAAGAGAAACTACTATGCGTCACCCAGAGGTTGTTAGATTCGATCTTGATGTTGCTAAATGGAATTCTTGGGTGTTTCCTTGGCCCAGGCATGAGGTGTGCCAACTGCAGCTGAGAATGAGCTGACTGATTATCCACCGGAAGGACCACTAGTGGCAGTCGCAGGTTCAGTATTTCTGCCCCACCTTGGGGCACTTGATACAGTTGTACTTCCTGATGCCCTTGTGGATGAACGGGGTGACCATCATTCTTGCCAGCGAGTTGTGAAAGTGACCATGTCAATCTGAGGCTGTAATTTAAGTGCCAGATCCCAACCTACAAGCCCCTGTTTTTCTGTCTGCTACAGTGATGATTGCTTTGTCTGGAATGGTTCCATGAGAGTACATTCGTGGGGTGTAATGATTGATACAGTGTCCACTTGAGAAGTTTAACTCAGCAGGGGGCTGGAGTGCTCACTTTGTAAACATCCTGAGCCTGTGTGGAGGAGGGCGCTGAGATGGTATGGCTGTAAAGGACCCACCCTAGGAGGAGAGCCTGCATACAATGTAGGGAAGGAAAAGAGGCTCGCTCTCCTGTCCCCACCTTTTGCTCTTGTTGCTTTGCTGTCTTCTGCTGCCTAGAACTGTTGGCCCTGTCCCACGCCACCCTGCCTTGGAGCCAGCTGATTACCAACTGAAACCTCCACAAACTGAGCTAATTCCTTCCTTAATTTTGGACACCAGGTATTTTGTCTCAGCAATGAGATAAAAGTAACTAACACGTGGGGATAGGGGACACCTAGCTGAGCCCTTACAAGGCTGATCCCTGTTGAATGGCAGTAAAACTTATAAATCTTTGTTGTGTTGAGCTACTAAGCTTTAGGGGGAATTGTTCCTGCAGTATAACTTAACCTGTATGAGTTCCCAGCCTACATAACCTGGTTTGTTTCTTTTTTTTTCCAGTACTGGATATTGAACCCACTACCTTAGCCTTTCGGAACTGGTAAACGGCACGTAGCATCAGTCAGAAGCCAGTCATCAGCTAAGATCTGATCACTGCCAACTTCGTAGAATATACACAAGATAGGAGGGTACATATCAGATAAAAACAACGAGTCATGGTTCTGTGACAGTATTTATGTAGGACAGAGGGTGAAAAACATTTGCATGCAAGAGGAGGATGTAAAGGAAGATCTTAGAGGATCTGAATTTTTAAAAATGAGGTGTGTGGCCCTGCTGGCTGCAGAAGAAAAGGATTTCGCAGTGGAGGGAAGAATGTAAGCAAAAACGGGCCTTGTTCTGCAAGTACAGATGTAAAAAAAAAAAAAAAAAAAAAATCTATTGTTAGGTAGAGGCCTGAACTCCAGCGCCATCTAATGGACCTGGAGGGAGAAGGGAGGTACTTTAAACACGTTTGTTTTCTCCATTTGAACATTTTTTTTTTTTTTTTTGCTACCAGGAATCAAACTCAGGCAGGTGCTTGTGCCGCGCTGAGCTATATCCCTGGCCCTGTTTTCTGAATTTGAAAGGTTGCTGAGGCTATGTAACTTAGTGAAAGATTGATGAATTTGATACTGTATTACTTGAACACTTTTATTGTTTACTTTCATGTTTTGTCCACACATATGGGATATTTCTGTATTGCCATAGTGTAGACTGGACATGGTAGCACATGCCTGTAATCCCAGCACTCGGCAGGCTGAAGCAGGAGGATCCTGGCAAGTTCAAGGCCAGCCTGGGCTACAAAGTGAGTTCAAGTGTCAGCCTGAACTGCCTAGTGAATCCCTGTCTCTAAAATAAGTAAGTAAATAAATAAATAGCCATAGTGTGTATGTATGCAGGTTTTTTTTGGTCTAGGGTCTCACTATGCAGTTCAGGCTGGCCTTGAGCTCACTTTGTAGCCCAGGCTGGTCTCAAACTTGCAATGATCCTCCAGCCTCAGCCTCCTAAGTGCTGGGGTTACAGGCGTGCGCCCCCACGCCCAGCCATGAGTGCAGTTTGGACTTTTTGTGATACCTCAGTTGTCAAGTGGCTCCTAACATGAAATTTGCTTGACAATCAAGCCAAAAATCTGACTTGAAAGAACTTGTATGGGGGCTGAGGATATGCTCAGTGGCACAGCACCTGCCTGGAAAGCACAAGGTCTGGAGTTCGATTTCTGGTACTAAAAAAATAAAAAAAAAAAGAAACCTTGTGTGGGCCAAGCGGGAGTCACATGGCTCAGATTCTTCAGTCTAAGCACTGCTCTCGCCCAGACAACACATAGTAGTTGTACTGGTGCACTAAAGCATTTGTCGTTGTGCTTTTTTTTCCACTTTATGTAAAATATCATAACCAGGGATCCAAAGAAAGTTAGTGATACCAGCAGTAAAGCTAAGAGGAAAACTGGAAACCACAATGGAGTTAAAGAAATAAATAATTGCAAAATTTGAAGCAGGTCACTGCTTATCCGATCTATTGGCTGAATACAACATGGCTAAGTCGACATTATCAACATTATTAGGGAAAAAATAAAACCGGCTAATGTAGGGAAAGGTGTGAAATCATTACCCACGGAACAGAGAACCCAGACTACTGAAGAGGTTGAAAAGTTACAGTTAATTTGGGTAAATCTGAAACAGCTGGATGGCCGTAGCATGGCCAAGACAGCGGTGTGTGCGGAGGTACACGCCTCCGTAGTGATTTAAGGAAAAATGGTGCGGGAGTGAGTGCTGGGCAGACCGAAGTGTTCAAAGCCAACCATGGCTGGTTTGGAAACTTCAAAGAGAGAACAGGCTTCCATAGTGTAGTGAGATGGGAAAGGGGTGCGTGCAAAAAAACACAAAGCTGATGAATTTGTGGCTGAATTTGCTGAAGACACGGAGCCTGGGGGGG